AAAACCAGACGCTCCGGTAAGCAAAGCAATCGTCATTGTGGGAGGCTATGATAGATAGATGTTGCCCTGGGCAAGATTCAAGTGGGTGAAGCTCAGTTGGATGTTGGTTAGGAGTCTTTTAAATATATGTTCATTCGATCACCTATAGCACGATAAGGTTAGGGTTACATTCCCACGACCCCTGTTTACTCGATCGGCGCGGCGAAAAACCTTATCGGTCCACTCCTGAGTGAGATTGCGGTCATAATGAATTATGCAGGTCTTCTTCCAACTCCACACCAGCGGTTCATACAACAATTGATTGACTGATATATATAACTCTCAAGAATCATTATAATAAAGCAATTTAACGATCAATCAATTGAAGCGTGTGTACTTGTGGATTGATCAATTGTATGATCAGTTCATCGGCGTCGGAGATGACTTCAGCGTTTGGCCTTATGTTTTCCACGTAAAGTCCGAAAGCGTCATACGTCATTACACAAGTGAAATATATTCTCAAATTTACTAGAAGTTATATTTCAGAGGCAACTGGCATAATAATTAGAAGACTGTGAAAGTGATCCATATAACGATTTCCTCAGTACAGATTCAATGCAGGGAAAATAATTTTTGCCGTATGTCCGAAATGTGGGGGCGGGGCATTGTTGTATACAAACTTAACACGAACTTGGCTATCCCAACAAGCTCCGGTAATCAACAGATCCCATATAAATACAACGACTTTCTATTTCTAACGTTTGTATGGCATCGTCCACATTGTTGACTCGAAACGAAAAGATGTAAATGTGTATAGCAAATTTACAATGAACTCCAGGTCCTACATTACAAAATGACAATAAATGGCATTTCCAAATTTCCAGTTCCATTCTGACAAACTTCGAATTAAATGACGATATCACGATTATATTACGCTGAATAATGCGGGCCCACGACCGACCCACAACGATGATAAAACAAGGTCATTGTCACCCTTGTCGTGGACAAAATCAAGAGAAAAATCGGTTAAACTAACATTCATTTGGTTTTGTCCGAGGTAGCTTTTCTCGGTCGGCTGTGCTGGAGTTGGTAGCGAAGTGGCAACATAATTGTTCTTGTAGGTTTGGATAACGTTTTCTATGGAATATGGTGAAGATTGTTGTCTTGAGATATCGGTACCTCTGTCGATAGCCGACACGCGTGAATGAGCATTGGAGATGCGCAAGTTCTCGCGACCTTGGCTCTTACCGATGTATTGATCACGCTCGTACTGCTGTTTCTGTTCCGAGTAATATTGATACAGTAATATTGATACAGTAATATTGATACTGGTTCGACTCTTCAGATATCTCGTTAGCCTCAACAAGCGACCCGGGACTTCCATCTCCCTCAGTAACTTCAATCGAACCCAAAACTTTCGCGACGTTCAGCTCTATTCGAACTTTTGCTACAAGCTCTCTTAGCACTTTACACGCGTTTCCAGCCAATTTGTTATTCTCGCTGATCTTCCTCAACCGGAAAAATGCTCTTTCCGCAGCCTCAAGACATTTCCAAGCATTCCATTCACCCTGTTCCGCACCCTCTATACTGATTCCGTTATCACTCACGTGGTTTCCGACTATCATGAAATTTCGATGTGCAAGGCTACTCCGATCGTTAATCTCCCGAAGTATATCCCGACATATGAGTACCGACGGCTCCAAGTTCCAATACACATTTGAAAACTGGCGGTAGTGGTGTTCCTGGATAGTCTTGAACTGGTCTTCGCAGACTCGTAGCAGACGCAGACAGAAACTCATAGGGTTCGGGATGGCTACTTGTCGTCTGTAGACAGCGCAGCAGACCATGGGGATTGTTGCTGCCAGGGAATTGCGATGGGAGGCCAGAAAGGAGTACGTTTCGTCCAAGGACGTGTCGGGGTCCTGTGGACGAAAATAAGGAGGGAGGGCAGCGACAAATGACGACAGGTTCTCAAATAACCCTTGTGGGTCTGAATCGAGCGAGGATATCAACGCTCCGAGACGATAAGAGATCAGGCACATGGTATAAGGAGTGACCGGCGGAGCGGGTCGTACCGTAGGATAGTAGCAGTCGTCTGGCAAATCCAACGGCATCGGGATTTTGCAGGCATCGTCTGTGATCATAAGCGGTCTTGAGAGAGTGAGCGCCATGCATCTGTCCCAGTAATACAGCAGCCACCACAGCCTGCGTCGCTTCTCCCGGTCGAACGTCGGGGCTTGGTTTAGAGGCTCAACATGCAGATTGATTTCCTGTGCCATTCTGATAGCCTGGCCGATGCAATACCAGCTGTCCTTCATTCGAAGATCGTACTTGTACCAAGCAGCTCGTAGCACGTACTCAACGACCTTCCCGTACGAATCGGGGAGCATATCGGCAAGCTTAACCGCCACGGCGTGGTAGTCTCTGGCCAGAACATCAATGCTACTGTCAATCTGCTTTACCGTCTCCACATTCTCCCGTGGAATAAAATATAAAGCCGTGGCAAGAACACGAAACATCAGGCACGCGGTCTCGACCGCGTCCCAGGTCGTTCGATCGTAGTGCTCCCACCATGCTCTCACATCCTCCCAGAACTTGACTTCATTCAGCGCCTGATACAAGTTTGCTTGCTAGAAATATATCTGAATCAAAAGGTCTGCGTACGGTCGTGGTGGCAGTGTGCGCACTAGACGATTCACTGCAGGTAACTTGGTTTTGGGGACTAGAGATGGTCTTCGATCAGATACAGCGGTAGAGTCAGCTGTAGAAAACCTCTCTGGCAATTCAGCAATCTCGGGGTTAAGCTCCCTAATGTCCTGCGCAACGCTCGAACGCGCTGTTTGAAAATACCCCAAACTGTCAACAAGATCAGCTGTGCCATACCGTTCGTCATTGCTGGCTCTCCTTCCACTTTCATAGTCGTCGTCATCAGCACCGTCGGATGGCGTTGATACTCTGCCTGGATCACTTGCTCCACTCGATGAGTATGACAATAAGGACTGATGTGGCTGTTGATACTATAATGCTGAGCTAATGCGACAATCTGTGCCGCTGCATCACTCGTCTCAAAGGCTGTGCTGATACGGCCGGAGCTGTGAAGCTGTGGACTGAAAATGCAACGTTGGCAGAGGATTACCAGATGTCGGCTGGCCAAGCGGCACTATTGCCTGTACAGAGCGAGTAGAAACCGAAGAGTGAGACGAGGAGTGGTTCGGTCGCTTTCTTCGATTTTCGTTGGCATAATGACATAGGTTTTGGACTTCGCGCAGAATGCATTGGTTACATGGTGATTCGCGATCGCACTAAGATTTTTGTTGGTAAAATATCATTGAAACACAAGAAATTGGTGATTACCGCACTTTTTGCTTTCTCCGATGACATTCTGTGCATGAGATGACGCGCGTCTTTTGGTAAGAGACGTACGATGCGAGACTGGAAGCATTGGGCCGAGAAGAAATATATGCGATGCAACTAGCACAACCTAGAGGGATCGGCAATGACTTTCTGTGCTTGCTGCTCCGAAGTAATTGTTGGAATCAGACGGACGGTTGAAAATGGCACGAGCCGTTCACGATTAAGCGTGGCGAGTGTGGTGAGTTTTGTAGCTAGGACTACGGAGGAGATATAGCCTGCTCGCTGGGCAGATGAAAGTTGAGCTCAACAATGTCGCGTAGCCGAGCTCAGCTCTCTCGTGGATGGTTCATGTCTGCTCTCAAGCCTTCTAGGGGAGCTATTCTATCTGCATATGAAGACCATGGTTTAATCTTTACACAGAGTCTTATATTATTTACTGACTATTACTCGATTATATGAAGATCTCGTAGTTGAGCTGATCAGATTCGCCGCCACGTAAAAGGCCATGCCGCCAGCGATATACAGCACCAATATTTACGATATGCATACATATATAAACTGACAAGTGAAAGGGGAAGATGCTTGGCAGAGTCTTCGGCGCGCAAGGTGCTTAGTAAGAGTAAGTACGCCAGCCCGCTTGCCACTGTTTCAGCAGTCCTCTTCTCATCTTGGCCGCTATGGTACCGAGCCATGAAACAGGTCATCGCGACCGACACTACAGCATCCGAGCCAAAATTGTCAGTTTCCTGGTATTTGATCTAAAAGCTGTGGACTGGAATACGAGAACAATCTAGGGTTCACGGAAAACACGGAGGTAAGAGGAGAAGACGTGGAGATACGATTATCCGGCTGCCGCAGCGCATCTTTCAGTTAGAGTCCGGTGAATCGCCCGCCGCATTGCACTAATTCGGTTCGCCGGCGTGCATTTGGCGTGCAGCCAAAATGCAATCTGCTTACTGTGGCTGAGTTATTATGGGGTGCCCCCACACCCCGGCTTATAAACTGTATGCATGGATTATCAAATTAAGCTCGTCCCCAGGATGCTAGAATGGGCAAGTTAATGTTGAATTAGCCGCTTGGTTGGAAGCGTTTGTTTGCTGAACCTTGTGTAAAATGCTGTAGCATATCTTAAATCTTAAATTTTACCTAAACCGTCGACTTCTCGTGTATGCAGGAGCTGATATGATAAAAAAGCTACACCGAATAATACCAGCAATCGACTCGGAACAGTGGAAATTGGTGCCAAAATGTCGCATCAACCATACTATTCTCGATATCTGCCAATACGCATTCCTGCTATGTAGTCAGTAGTCTCATTGGGTTCTTGCAATTATTCCAGTAATGATAGTCCTCTCTTTCATCTAGCAATATCTGTGCTGACAAAGTAACTGTGTTCATCCTATCCAGGTCAACTGACTGCATTATCCCAAGGGTTATTATACGACTGCAGCCTGGTGATAAGCGAACCTGTACGCTCTCGAGTGACTGACTGCCTACAAGCATCACGGATCGTAATAGATAGCTTAGCCGCTTGGAAAGCCTCTTTTTTTTATGTAGGCTAGTTAGAGAAACAACGAGACAACATAGGAAAGACAATTCCTGCGAGGGTTAGGATAACAATTCGCAAATTGTTACGGAGAGTTCTTGTTGCTGATTGCAAAGAAGCTGGGAGCTTGGCCGAGTGGTCTATGGCGTCAGATTTAGGTACCTTGTAGTATTGCATTGAGCTTACTGTACGCCAAAATCTCTGATATCTTCGGATGCGCGAGTTCGAATCTCGTGGCTCTCAATATCTATTTTTTTTACTTCAGATTTGTTGATTCTATTTTTACTTCTGATTCAGCATTGTTTGGATATGTTGTCAGATATATCGTTTGTGAGTTTTCTTCATCCATAAGTAATATGATACATTGGAGTACTATTCACAAATCTTCAAATCATCAATAATCATTTTATCAGCCCATCATCCTTAAAATGCAAAATTCGTCTTCAGCTGAATACTAGGTGTCGAATGCATATCATCGATACTCGGATTTATCGCAGCCTGACTTCTCATCAACCTCTCGAGTTGCAAACGCTGTGCCGGCGATATCTGTGCGAGCACGGATTTAAACGAGACAGTGTCCACACCAGCTATCTCAATTAGCTGTCGTCTCTGAATCGACAATGTCTCTGGTTCGTCATCTTTTATGTTGTATAGTATAACAGGTATGCAAATCGCCATCGCGGGAGCAACCCTTTCGCCGTCTAAGCTTTTGATGAACGCGACCAAGATATCGCACACCAGTTTTGGCATACCCTCCCCCTCATCATTCAACAACAGCTCTGAAGTTGCCAGACCTACTAATTGAGGAAGAAGCTTACGGCCAAGCATTTGCGTGAACGAGCTGCGGCTGGATGTAATAAGCAGTGACTTTGCGCACTGGGACGCGACTGATGCGACCTCAGGATTGTTGAACGATTCTATGATAGCCGTGCTGCAGTCTTCAATCAGCAAGTCGTTTGCGGACATGATCTGCTCACAACTTCCGATAACGACGACTAGACAGAGGAGACAATTCTTTCGAAGGGCTACTGCATCTTTATATTGCGCATGACTACACTCAAGTGTCAGCTGAACCGAACTGTAACCATGCTACAGTTAACATACCTGGTCTGGTCCAACGTAGCTATTAATAGTGCAGAAAAACTACGAATCCCTTGCAAAATCTGCCCATACGACTCCGAGTCAGACTCCGTGCACGACTTGACCACATTCCTAAGCACGCTCTTCAAATTCGGCAACAACGCCGGAATAACAGCAGCCTGACAGGCCGGCGTGTCCAGCAGACAATTGAAAATGTGGAGGTATATAGCGTACAAATCCAACCGCATACTAAATGGGAAACTTTCCATCATATCTTTGAATGCTTCCATCGCTTGCTTGGTAGTCGTGATTACTTCCGCGGTTATGGGCTTAGGATCTACGGATTTGTTAGCCAGCTATCTATACCTCTACTAAATTAGAGGTCGTACTCGTTGGCAAGTCCGCCACGGCAGGATATATTTGCGTGAGGATGAGGATCACACCACGTAGTAGCTCAAACATCTGATTGAGTCCATCATTAACAGTATCATTACCATTTCTAACCACGTCAGCTAGAGTCATTTGATGATAAACCACTCAAAACATACATATCTGTGTCAAACGTGCGTTTTGACGTCGGATGATTAATGCACAAGTTCTTAATTATTTCAATCAATGGATCTTGACAATGATAACCTTCCGTAAGGATTATCCGATCAAAAAGGTCGATCATCTCTGTGAATACCGCAGCCTGATATAAAGAATTTCCACAAATAGTCGGCAGTAAAATCTTCTTGAGCGCGTTTAGAATCACAGGCATATCATCCGCCGAAGCCATGATGTCACCTCCTGGAGCTTTAACGAGGGCTTCGAAACATACACCAAAAAGCACGAAGAAGAACGCTGTCGGCTCGTCGTTTGTCTCGTTATTGTTGCCATTTATGACAGTACCCTTTCGGTCGTCCAGGGCAGCAATAACAAGGTCTGGTTTCTGATCAATCAACGAAGCGATAGCCTCCACAAGCTTCAGCCATGACTGTTCATAAAACTACACCAGTGTCAGTATACATAAATGCAATCGCATAGGTAAAATAGCTCACTTGAACAACGCTGTCCTTAGATCCAGAAGAATATGTGTTATCCACTGGACCCGACAACGTCATAGTACCACTCCCGGGGCCCAAATCAGGCTCGAACCTGAGCTGCGCAAACTCTTTAAGAGCCGACAACCACAATGGGGCCAGCGACTTAATATGAGGCATTGTAACATCCAGTAAATAATCTTGTTCAATACTAGCGACCTGCAATTCTGCCCAAGCTGACAAGATGGCAAGTTTCAGCATAACTTGGGCATTAGAGCTGATCACCTTCAAGTCACCTAGCATAAGATCGTCCCCCTCAGTTATACAACTATCCAGCGCGTTGGTGAGCAGCTTGAGAATTCTCCCCATTCGCGGGACATCTCGCACAACACCGTTCGCTATGAAATCCGCGCACACGTTGATGGCCTCAGATGCGAGCTCCGGAGAAGAATCTGAAGAAAACGCTAGGGTTAGTGCTGATGCAATCTGCGCCTGGTACTGTTCCAAAAGAGCAGAATCTGCAAAGTCCGGATCTGGCGTCCTGCCAAATATCTACAAGAAGTCAACCACTACTCAAGATCCAATACAATTAGTGCTGACCTGCAGAATATCATCTAGTAACTGTATGCCAATAATCCTCATCTCAAGCACACTGGAAGTAGACGCCGAAAACGCAGCACGAATGATATCACCAATTCTCGCAATCAAATTACTTGGAACTTCCTTATTCATGCCAAGCATCTCCTTCAGGCAATTCAGAGCAAAAACCCTAGTTTGCCATTTCAATGGCTCCCCGCCTTCCGTTTTGGCATTCGAGTCACCTATTGCGCCTCCAGGTCCCTCCTCAGATGCCGCGAAAGATGCAACTTCTTCATCTCCAAGGTCGGGATCAGGTGTAATAACCTGGGAGTGTGATTTAGCTGACCGCATTCGTTTTCTAGCAACCAGTTTGACTAAGACTGCCTGACAACGAGCAACCCATAGACCGGCCTCAGTAACTCCAGTCTGAGAAAGCCACGTCGATATAATGCTCCTCAGACCCTCATGCCACGGTGTCGTATCATATGCTAGCCATATGTGGCCTTCAAGTGCTCGACCTGCATACGAAAACACACTGTTAACATCATTCCTGGCAAGTTGGTAATAACCATCGATCGCAGCGTCCCTTAGATCTTTAACTGGCGAGTGGATATATTTCGCAATTTTCTGACAGAAGCCTCTTGTGTCGAAGTATTGAGGGGCGAAGAGGAGAGCGTGCTGATAACACTTAATCGCTTCCACGACAGCAAATGGATAGTCCTCATTAGCGATCTCTTGAATTAGAAGAGAAATTAGTTCCCTATTCTTGGGATGGTCTTGAAGGTCCGGTCCGAGAACTCCAATCAGAGCATCAATGCAATGCGTAAGAACTCGGACTGTCGAATATTCGACCTCCAGATTTGACGATAAGATTGACATGCACTCCTCATTATGCGTGTCAGAAAGATACAGAGTGCAGAGCATACCTATCGTACTAGGAGCGTAACTCGCATACGTCAAGCCAGCTGATTCCATAGTCGTTGACAAGGCTTTCATAGCCCAGAAATGGACGGTCGGATGCGGGTCGTTGCTTAAAGACATTAAAATACTAGCAATAGTCTTAAGGTGGAAGCCAGCGGCCATGCCACCAACATGGCTGTGAATGCTGCCTAAGGTAAGTGCTAAACCAGCCCTTGCATTCGGGTCTCTGTTCTTTACAATCTCATCAACCGTGTGCTTGACTTGAACGCCAGTAAACTGATGGCCCCCAATGGCAGAAAGGCGGCCGATGGCATCTGCAGCTATAATACGAACGTAAGCGTCCTCCGTCACAGCAATAGACCGAAGCATTTCCATGATAATTTTAAGAACTGATTCGTCACTGAGTCTGTGCCTGTGGTTCCTCTTATCGCCAGTGATTAATTTTAAGGTTCCCGACAGAGCGACGGCGACATTAGCTGTAACAGCGGCTTTCCGGCCAGGATCTTTCTGCAGACTCGACGAGTTCAAAAATGACGCAACTTGCTCTAGAATACTCTCCTGAATTTTCTCCGTCTGCAACGGTAGGAGCAAGATGAATAATTCAATGGCGTAGTCGATAACAGCAGTAGCGGATGACTTAGGATATGATTGCCATGGAACCAATCCGGACTTAGTTTCAAGCTGATTGAGGAGATAAATATAATCATGCTCCAAAGCTCCTTGTGTAGGCTCATGCAGCTATAACAAGGTTAGTCGACTAGTATTACTTACGCGTTGTTTATATACTAAGACATACCATTAGCTCGACTCTGGAAGTGAATGAGTCTGTGCTAAGCCAACTCTTATCCTCATCGTCTTCCCCCTGCTTTTTCTCGAAGCCAAACTTTGCGGTACTGAATCCACGTATGACACTACAAACACCATAAGCATAATTATCGGCAACTTCCCATACAGACTCGTAGCTCCCGGCACTGGAAGCAATAGTGGTACTCAGCGGCGATGTGTAATTATCAGGATCCGCAAAAAGCGACACAGCCGAAGTTAAAATATCAGCCTGTAATCCTTCACCATGCTGAGCGTCAATTAACGCAATGTAGCACTGGAAAACTCGTCGTCGAACCATCATTTCGTAGTCGACCAGATGTAATGACGATGACAATCGCATCGTTGGATCTTCAACGACTTTCTTGGCCAAAATTAGATTCAAAAACGTGCTGGTGTTTTGTAACATGACAACTAGACGCTTTGAAACATCACTGGTCAAAAGTCGTGCGTTAAATTGTAAGAATGCCAGGATTGACGACAACGCACATTCCCGAACATGCAACAGGAAACTGTATTCAAGCGAGTTCTTCTCCACGACCGAGTCTTTGGACAACGGCTTGGGCAAAGCACTCTTCCACAGAAGCAGGAGTTGACTGAGATGCAGTTTAACGAAATTTGGACCAAGAGACATCAAACCGCTGATCAATGTCCACGCGACTTGAATCTGCGTTGTAGACACAAGCACGTCGGATTCCCCACTGCCTTTTAAAAGGGAAGTAGCCAGCGAAAATACCCGAGACGTGAGATCCAGAGATGCATACTGTGGGCGGAGATTAGTGATACCGATAGTGATGGATAAAGCTGTTGCATAGCCAA